GTTTGGTCAAAACTGTCTAGTGAATGGCCAATTGTCAATTCATGTTTTTATTTAATTTAAGGAGGTCCTTTCGCCACACCTCTCGCCTCAAATGTTAAAAAAAAGTTATTAGATTATGACTAAAATTAATTTTTTCTAATGGTTGCTTATTTATCTAATACTGAACTTTTAACTATACCTTACCTTGCAAATTTTAAATTTTTTTTTTAAATTGTATTTGTACAGTGCCTCACGAGAAAGTAAGTCTGAACAATTCTCGAATTATACTATTATTTATTGATTAGATGGAGTAGAAAAAAACTAAAAATAAGGTTTTTGAAATATATAGATTTTGTTTTATACAATAAAATATATATAGTAAACCGTGGAACTTATTGAGAAATTAATATTAAAAAGTCACAAAAAATTTTCAAATAACTTAGTTGAAAATTTTTTGTGATTTTTTAATAATAATTTCTCAATATATTCCACGGTAACCTATATATTTTATTGTAAAAAACAAAACCTAAATATTTCAAAAACCTTATTTTTAGTTTTTTTCTACTACATCTAATCAATAAATAATAGTAAAATTAACTATAATTCGAAAATTGTTGTTGAAATCTTACTTTCTCATAAGACACTGTACAAACACACACATTTTTCTCAAAAATTTGCACGGTAAGGTATAGTATTAGATAAATAAGGACATCTACTATTAGAAAAAAATTAATTTTAGTCATAATCTAATATTTTTTATTTAACATTGGTGGCGAAAGGACCTCCTTAAACACACAAGAAATTAATAGTTATGGATAAACTAATGTTGTTGAAAACCAATTTAAAACATGAAACGGAAAACCAAATATTATGTAATATTATAATGGGATTAGTCACCAGTTACTCTAAAATAGGCGGAAAATCAACACTTACAAAAATCTTTTCTATTCAAAATGATGATGCTGGAACTTACACTTTCAAAAGAATTATTATATTTATGAATGAAATTTCATCATCAGTTTGAAAAGCTAACAGACAAATAGCCATAATAACTTTATTTCTCTTTCTGCTGTTCATATTATTTTTTTAAATGCCTTCGTCTTGAGTTTACCGCATTCTTTAGAACTGTCGATGTGTCGAGGGACTCACAAAATACAGGAGACAGGAGGGACTGCCTGGTCTTGTAATTTTCGGTTATGAATTTTACAAATTAGGACTAGACAGTTTCGACTACATCGCCTAGCGAGCGGTCTGACCATATCAGTCAACTTGACCGTTGACTTAACGCAGCCTAATTAACAGTGCTGTTCCTAAAGTGGCGCAAGGAAACAGTAACAAGGCCTGTCTGTAGGGGTGTAGGAGTATTAGAGTACTAATACTCCTGCACTATGGAGTACTAGACTACTAGTACAATCCATAACCTACATAGAACATTAGGCTAATGACCTTAGATGTTGAAGCCGTACACCAAAGAAAAAAAATATATTTTAGCTTCAAGTTTTTTAACATCTCATTATGTTATTAACAGTTGCTATTTATTTTGCGTAATAAAACAAAATTTATTCTGAAATAGCCTATTCCTAATAAATAATGAAACAAAATATATTCTGGGATTGCTTATTCTAGAAAACTTTCGTTGATTATATTTGAGAAATTGTCTATCATTTAAGGATTCAAAGGGATCTCCTGCCTCATTTTTCCACTTAGACCAAAAATCTCTTGGGACATTAATTGCTCTTCTTTCTGCCTCTTCTATATTGTTTAATTGTAAAAGTAAAATAGCTTCATCCATTTTGGGAAAGGTATATTAGTAATAATATACCATGAGTAATAATAATATATAATTATTATTTGAAGTAACTAGCAAATGTCACCGGTGACAGATTTCCATTGGAAATTTAATTTCCCATGCCAAATACCAGGTGTGTTTGCTCCCATACTTTTCGTGAGAAAATATTCCTAGTGGATGTGTCGAGAATACAAACTATAAATTCCCATAGGAAAATTATCTTTTTCCCATGGGAAAAAAAGTCGAGAATTGAGGCCCAGGGGTGGATCTATCTCACTACTCTCGCTGTCAGTATCATTCTCGGGAAACAATTGCTTCTTGAGTATCTTTTTTTTCTTTTTCGCCGCTGGTTCCTTTCGTTGCTTGGAAATTTTCAGCTCCTCCATAAAAGGGGTTGAAGTCGCAACTACTGTGGATCCATGACTTCTCTTCCTTTTTGGGGCGCCATCTCCTTGTTTAAAAACTCAAAGAATCGGTAGTATGTCCTGGGGAGAAACAATAATAGAACCTTCCGGAATCACATTTGACGGTGTTTGCGGTTTTTCTTGGACGGCACATGTTCTTTGATCTTGACTTGTTCCAGCAGTTGCCTCACGATTAGTTGTTTCAGCTGCAGCAAAGGAGCTTGCACCGAAAATTCTTTGAAATGGATATATGCCCGTTTTTTTGAAGCCGGAAATCGCCGTTTCCATCGTGGCTGCCTTTAAGTAGGCTTCGCCAAATAGGGCTCCAATTTCATGAATAGTTACGATTTTTCCGGGGTGATAAAATGTGGAAATCGGATACATAAAGGAAACATCAAGCGGTTGTAACCGATGTGTACAATGCGGAGGCAGAACGAGAATATCCACAAAAGTTTATTTGGCTACAGTCAGCATGTCAAATTTTTTTTTAGTGAGTAGAGTGGCCATCTAAAATGAGTAGGACACGGTCTTCAGCTGTTGGCTTTGCAAATTTTAGAAAATGTTGGAACCACTCAGTAAATATATCTGTTTGCATCCAACCTGTTGGATGGGTAAAAATTTTTGTGTTTGGAGGAACACCGTTTTCAAAAGTCACATTGTGTCGAACCCTTGGAAATACCAAAGCTGGAGGAATATATTCTCCGGCCGAATTAAAGCAAATTTCAGCAGTAACCAGCGTTCCTCTCTCGGCTGAGGACAGAACTCCCACCTGTTTTTTCCCCTTTTTTGATATAATTTTGGAAGGCTTATTTGGAACTGTTGTAATTCCCGTCTCATCACAATTATATATGCTATTTGGGGGTATCGGTGATTTTCATATAATTTATCAAGTAGATCGAAAAACTTTTTGACATTAACCTCATTAAAGGCCGAGGCTCTAGCTGCTGAGGTTTTCTCTGGAAGCCGCAGTGATAATGTTGGGTTTCTTTTTAAAAAGCCATTAACCCAATCTGTGCCGGCTACCTGTTTTTCAGTATTAAATGGGTGAGAAATGTTGTTCCTGACAGCCAATTGATATGCGACAGATTTAAGATCTGCTAAGGTTAAACCAAAGAGTCGCTCTTCCATTTGTAAAACGCAGTCAACTAAAATTTTTTCTTGTTCTTCACTAAATACAAAACGATATCTTCCAAGTTTTTTTATTAACACATTGATCTACTGGTGCTTTTATTCTCCGGAAGAGCGTCGCAGGAGGAATATTGTGCTGGCGAGCTGCGGCATTAATTGATGTTCCAGCTTTACAAGCCGCTATTGCAGCTTCCATGCTATTTTTCTCCCATGATTGTTGGGTAGTCTTTCTAATATATTTATGCACCATCTTATCTGAAAATAAAAAAGATAGCACTAAGCTTGGTCATATATCATGCGACATCAACAGCCATTTCACATTGCCCTAACTGAGCGGGCAAAGTTAAATATTTCACTTTGCCCGCAACACCTTTATTTCATTTTGCCCGCGTTGCCGCGACCGTCAAAAAACAAATCCACCTTTTTACCAAAACGATAAATAGGGACCGTAAACACTTTAAAATGCTTCTAAACATGTATAATATAAGCTGGCAAATAGACAGGAATTAATCACTTACCGTTTTCGTATGGTTCGTTCCAAAAAATGGTACGAATATTACAGTTTTTCACTTAAAAACACTAAAAGTCGTATTATCACATGCGGAACTTGCATTACAACTTTCATATTACATTTATAAGTACCAACTTAAGGAAGCTAGCTTCTTGTAGCAGTAAAACTTGAACCCGCCAATTTCAAAAAATAATATACCAAAATTTCACTTTGCCTGCCTATTTCACTTTGCCCGCCTATTTCACTTTGCCCGACCTTCCCCTACTTGTGTACATGAGAGGTGTTAATTATGCACATTTTGATTGTTGATATCTCCTTTCACAGACGGTCGAAAAATTTAATTTTTTTTTTTTTTTAGTTACATAAAAGACACTTTCATTAACCTTATATTTCAATTTTATTAAATTCTTTAAAAAAGCCGTTTTACGAGTGAACTACCTTAAGCAGTAGGATGGGTCGAAAAAAAAAATTTCAGAAATTGATCTTGTCATATTAGTAAAAATATGTGGAATCCACCAAGGAAAATATATAAGTTTTGTTTTTGCGAAAAAAATTGAATTTAGCCGCGCCCCTCCCCCCCCCCCCTAATTACGTTGAAATTTTAAAATCGAAGTAAGGGGCTGTAATACTTATAAAACGTATCTAGAGCTTCCAAGGAGCGAGTATACCAAAAAACACCTAATTATCTTGATGTTCAGCCACGCCCCTGAGGACTTACCCCTAAAGTAAGTAATTACTTATATACAGTTTGTTGCTTGAAAAAGAGATGATTTGATATAACGACTATATTTTTATTAGCTATTTGATTGATCATCGCTTTTTCAACCCAGAACTCACCGCGTGGAGGTAACTGTATGTCGAGTTCCACCCCCCTTCTCCCCCCACTCTTTCATTTTCTCAAATCTATATACCAGTCTTCAATTTCTTGACAGAACAGTACTGTCCTTTGTTTTCGAATGATGGTAAACTGCTTCTAGCCTCTAGTTTGACCTGAATGTAGGAATCTTTCGAGATGGCACTACATACTTTACTAGATACTTCAGTCACTAATTTAACACAGCGCTCGACTGCTTGTGTGTGACATGGAAATTCGATCGTTGGCGGAAATATGAAGGATTTATTTTCTATTGCCTGCTCTAGAACCTGGTAATTTATTTGTTTTGTCAGAGGAGACTCTGTCGCATTGCACTCACTCCAGTGTATGATCTCGGTATAATCTTGAGCTTCGAAATTTATTTTTGGAACTCAGTCTTGTTGGAGATTGCCTCGCTTTTAAGATACGTCTTATTCCTAGTTCTCTTATATGCACCCTTTCATCTGTTATCATTGCTAAGAGAATATTCTCTGGGTGGGCGAAGTAAGCATTTGTGGAAATCACTCGATTAATAATAGTTTTAATTTTATCAGGGAACTCTCTAGATTTATGAATCATTTCATACAAATGTACGGAACCATATTGAATACTGGGTTGTGTCTTGATTGAAAACCAGACTGGAGCATACACTTTCATAACAAAATTTGCAAGTAAAATAAGGTTTTCTGAGAGCAACTCCGTAGAAATATATAATCGCAGTAGCCTGTTTGCTGTTGTTAGCCATCTTGCATGACCCATTTTACCAGGATCTTTTTTGGATAAGTTGTCAGGACAGTAGCCCTCTCGAATAGCTGAACATAGACGATAAAGGTACTGTTGATCAGTACTAAGGTCTTTCTCATCGACATGAGGTAAAATTGTGTCAATTTTTTCGAAATTCACGACTGGCCTTAATTCGCATGCTGCCAGCAAAGATCCGATTGGCCCAAAAAAAGTATATGGCCCCTTTGTGTGTCCATCTATGTCGTGAAGAACATGTCATTTGTATGCAACAAACAAATTACCCACTGTAGGGGTCTTCCAACGTGATTTTCAATGAGACGTATTATGCCAGTTTTCCATCCTGTATTCACATTAGTCCCATCACAACCAATAACTGTTAAGCGATTTAAGTCAACATTTTTAGTTTCGATATAAGATATATTTATCGATATATTTAACGCAGTGCCGGGGGGTGTTATCGTCACATGGCCAAAATAAGTACTTCCTGGTTCTTCAATTATTGAAACGTGCTCCTGTTATTTAGTAACACGACGCCCTTGAATAAGCATCATTGTTTGATCCTTTCTTCCATCGAAATAAATTCCTTGAATAGGTTTTTGAGGCATTGTCACTATTTTTTGGACAGCCTTCCTTTTTTTATTGAGTTCTCTCCTAACTTTTCCTTTATCTATAACATTCTTAGGATTTTCTGAAGACACTAATCCAAAATCGTGCAAAGTGGCTGTAGCAATTTTCGCCACAGTTCGATTTGAAGCTCCTGTCATGTCTGCCATCTTGGCAATGTTTGGGAGAGCTTTTCTGAATTGTCCAGATTTTTTAAGCGCCTTAACATTACCAGCTGAAGCATCTAAAGAATATGACCACCTAAAATCCTGATCTTTCATTACATCCTCACCTGATGATGAGGTGGATGCACTTTCATCCAGTATTTCTGCATCTTCAACTGGTTTTGAGGTTGAGGGACCCGCTCTTTCTAGAAAATGTCGTTTCATTTTTCATTTGCATCTTTTTTGTATTTACTTGGTCTACACCACCGATGCGCATTTTTCTTTGATCGCAAAGAAAAGGGCGTTCAATTACCGGGAACTTCTTATTTTTTTCGCAGGTGCAAGCATTTAATATCAGCACACTTACACAAACATATGTCAAATAATCTCTTTGATTGTGTTTTGAAATTATCGATTTTCGATTGAAGAAAAGGAGTATTTCTTTGTTTTAAAGGTTTGATCAAATTTCTGTATTTTTTGTGATAATACGTAATCATTGCTACAATTCGGTTATGTGTGACAGTTGATAACGAAGCTAAATTCCATATATGTTGAATTTTATTTGCTACAATTTTAGCAACTTCACTATCCGGTGGCTGCTTGCTTCTGTCTCCCTTTAAATCGATTTGAACAAAAAAGAAACACTGCATCATTTCTTCATATGTTGGGAGGCAAGCTTGCGATTTAAAATCCTGCCCCAAACCAAAAACAGGGTGACTATCTTGCCCCCGTGTTTTAATCACTTTTTTACGGTTCATAGTAAGTTTTGCACAAACGAACAAACACAAAATGTATCAATGTTTTATACTTGTAAAACTGGACAAAATAAAAATCACAAAATTAAAAATATGGACTTTCCACTCGAGACAAAAGTAAATAACACACGACTAAACTCTACTTACTCAACGATTGTCGGCACATTACTGAGAAAGAAAGGTGTTTATTTTTATTTGTAATGAGACGGGGGGCGTGTCTTGACAGGTTATAACGGCGCCGGCTATAATTGCACTATCGAGACACCCGGTGCGGGCGATAAGAAATTAGTTTGGGAATATTCAGAAGATGTATTTAAAATATTTCCATATACGAAATATAAGCGGGGCGCGGTCAGAAGTGAAGCAAATCAAGTGAAAAAAAATTTGGTATGTTTCTATAACATAAGTAAACTTTTTTTAACCGTGACGTAATAAAATAATACATTTGAAAAAATAACCCCTTTTACCCCCCCCCCCCCCCAGGGGCGTGGCTAAAAATAACTTTAAAACTAAACAAAAAAATACATTATCGTTTTTGACCCATTATACAACTTTTTATCACTATGACAAATCAGTTTTTTAAAAAAAAAAATTTTTTTGCCTTTTTCGACCCGGCCTATTAAGCAAGCCTTTCGGCCTTTCTGTAAATAGTGATATGTATACACAATTTAATAGTTTTTAAGAATAAAATTAATTAGATCCTATATGTTAAACGATGGTACAAATTTTATAACTTCTCAAAATTTTGTCTTATTGCTGTCTCAAATTTTTGACTTTTGTCTGAATTTTTTACTAATTATCTTAATTTCGACTTTATTTTTCCAAATTTTAATTTTTTTCACAATATTTTACTTTTTTTAAAAATATTTTTCAAAATTTTTATTTTAACTATTTTTCAAGGTTTTGACTTCTTTTAAATTTTTACTTTGTTTAGCTTTTAAACTCAAAATTACATATGCTAATCGAAGCACAGACTTCCTATCTCAAATTTTGACTTTTGTCCTAAAATTTCAACTGATTTTAATTGATTATCTTAATTACGTCATTATTTCTCCAAATTTTAATTTTTTTCACAAAATTTTAACTTCTTTTAAACATTTTACATCGTTTCTAAAAAGTTAAACTTTTTGTTAAAACATGGACTTAATGTCAAAATTTTTACTTTGTTTCTAAAGATTTAAACTTAAAATAAGGTCCTTTATGTTAATCGATGACAATAATTTTATAATCTCTCAAAATTTTGTTTTATTGCTATCTCAAAATAGTGGATTTTATTTGTTGCACTAGATGTAAGTGTTCCGCACTAATCGCATTTGATTTGTTCAGTGTAGCTTCAAATATTTGACTGTAGCATATTCGCTCCGTGCGAAGTCATGGAAAGGGAAGCAAAAGCGATACTAGCGCTAGCTGCGGATAATTCCTGCATTTTAGGGCGATATTTTGTAATTTTGGCATATCAAATACACGTATACATTTCACTTTTTTTCAAAAAACTAAGTAAAAACAATACAATAAGCAACCGGAGTTGCTGTGTTGAAAATTGTACAAAAACTAGAAAAAAAATCTGATGTGTCCAACACATGACTTTCCTATCTAGTTATTATAGGCTTTTTCCGGTTATTTTGTACAACCTATTGCAGCATCTCTATAAATGTTTAGAGGATAAACTAAATATATACATTGTCCACATACATCTACCTCGAAACATTTTTCTATACATATTCATTGAAAACGAAAATACTGAAAAATTTAAATTTAGCACTTTTCCATTACGGTCCATTTTAGAAAAATCATGTATAAACAAAAATTATAGAGATCGATATCGCTTTTAGTTCAACAATTTTCATAAAAATCGGAATTTTGCACATTTTGTCAAATTTCTCGGATACGGACCATTTCAGGAAATTTTGACATAAAACAAAAATTATAGATAATAATATTAGAAGTAACTTTTATTTGAACGATTTTCTTCTCCAAACATAAATAACAGATATATTCCATAAAATATAAAAACGGCCTCCCATAAAGTACCCCCCTAGATGTTCCGACTTTGTCCAAAATCTTATCATTTCACGTCAGGCCGAAATAAACCTTAAGTTTAAAATTTAATGTTTTTTTCTTTATCCGTTTTTGAGTTTTCTTCAAAATTCGAAATTTACACATTTTCTCAAATATCTCGAATACGATCCATTTTAGAAAAATTATGCATAGAATAAAAATTATAGAGAATTCTATTACAAACAACTTTTATTTGAACAATTTTTATAAAAAAATATTTTTTTTTTACATTTTGTCAAATTTCTCGAATACGGACCATTTAAGGAAAATTTTGTATAGAGCAAATATTATAGATAATAATATAAGAAGTAACTTTTATTTGAAGAATTTTCTTCCCCAAACGTAAATAACAGATATATTCTATAAAATATAAAAGCGACCACCTATAAAGTATCCCCCAGATGTTCTGACTCTGCTCAAAATCGAATCAGTTCATTGGACGCTGGAACAAAGCTTAAGTTTAAAATTTGGTGTTTTTCTGTGTATCGGTTCATGAGTTATGCGACACACACAGAGACATCATCGCGAAAATAGTTCAAACGGATTCAGGGGATCTCAAAACGTAAAAATCCGTCGAAAACAATCATGATTCCTATATTTTCCTTATATCTGTATACAGATAGGAAAGTAAAAAATCTGATGTGTCCAACACATGACTTTCCTATCTAGTTATTATAGGCTTTTTCCGGTTATTTTGTACAACCTATTGCAGCACCTGTATAAATTTTTAGAGGATAAACTAAATATATACATTTTCCACATACATCCACCTCGAAATATTTTTCTATAGATATTCATTTTCATAAAAATCAGAATTTTCTACATTTTATCAAATTTCTCGAATACGGATAATTTTAGGAAAATTTTGTATAGAACAAAAATTATAGATAATAATATAAGAAGTAACTTTTATTTGAAGACTTTTCTTCCCCAAACGTAAATAACATATATTCCTTAAAATATAAAAATGACCACCTATAAAGTACCCCCCCAGATATTCCGACTCTGCCCAAAATCTAATCATTTCATTGGACGCTGGAATAAAGCTTAAGTTTAAAATTTAGTGTTTTGCTGTGTATCGGTTCATGAGTTATGGTCGATACAAACACACAGACAGACACACACATATACAGACATCATCGCGAAAATAGTCAAAATGAATTCAGGGGACCTCAAAACGTAAAAATCCGTCGAAAACTCGAGGTCGAAAAAAATCATGATTCCCATATTTTCCTTATATCTGTATACAGATAGGAAAGTAAAAAATCTGATGTGTCCAACACATGACTTTCCTATCTAGTTATTATAGGCTTTTTCCGGTTATTTTGTACAACCTATTGCAGCACCTGTATAAATTTTTAGAGGATAAACTAAATATATACATTTTCCACATACATCCACCTCGAAATATTTTTCTATAGATATTCATTTTCATAAAAATCAGAATTTTCTACATTTTATCAAATTTCTCGAATACGGACTATTTCAGGAAATTTTGACATAAAACAGAAATTATAGATAATAATATTAGAAGTAACTTTTATATGAACAATTTTCTTCTCCAAACATAAATAACAGATATATTCCATAAAATATAAAAACGGCCTCCCATAAAGTACCCCCCAGATGTTCCGACTTTGTCCAAAATCTAATCATTTCACGTCAGGCCGAAATAAAAACTTAAGTTTAAAATTTAATGTTTTTTATCCGTTTTTGAGTTTTCTTCAAATTTCAAAATTTACAATTTTCTCAAATTTCTCGAATACGATCCATTTTAGAGAAATTATGTATAGGATAAAAATTATAGAGAATTATATTACAAACAAGTTTTATTTGAACAATTTTTATAAAAAAATATTTTTTTACATTTTGTCAAATTTCTCGAATACGGATAATTTTAGGAAAATTTTGTATAGAACAAAAATTATAGATAATAATATAAGAAGTAACTTTTATTTGAAGACTTTTCTTCCCCAAACGTAAATAACATATATTCCTTAAAATATAAAAATGACCACCTATAAAGTACCCCCCCAGATATTCCGACTCTGCCCAAAATCTAATCATTTCATTGGACGCTGGAATAAAGCTTAAGTTTAAAATTTAGTGTTTTGCTGTGTATCGGTTCATGAGTTATGGTCGATACAAACACACAGACAGACACACACATATACAGACATCATCGCGAAAATAGTCAAAATGAATTCAGGGGACCTCAAAACGTAAAAATCCGTCGAAAACTCGAGGTCAAAAAAAATCATGATTCCTATACTTTCCTTATATCTGTATACTGATAGGAAAGTAAAAATGATTTTATTACCAGAAGTTTGTCATATCTGTGCACAAGCTTTGCAATACCCTCTTCATCAAATGTTGCCGCCAGTGACTTGAAGTGAGTTGTGATGGTTTCTCTGATCTCCTTGTCAGTTTGGAAGCTCTTCTCCCCCAAGCCACTTCTTCAATTAAGGTGATTACAGCACCCCCTTATAATTTTCGGACAAGGATATCTCAAAAAGTAATATTTTTAAAAAATTAAAATTTTGGCAAAATATATTAGGCAATAATATCTAAAATATGCATATATTTTAAAATTTTAATTTCTTCCAGTTTCCGAGAGAAAAAATCAAAGGGCTTTAAATTTTTAAATATCATAATGAAAATAAATGCATTCCTCAACAGCACTATTCTTAGTATAATCCCCAAATTTAAGCTCTTACTCTTGATAATGATTTTTTAAAATTCGGCGAAATTAGTGGCTAAAACACCTTGTTAAGTGCTATTTTCTGGTTTAAACTGGTGTAAATCATTGCAAGAAACGAATGATGACTCAGAGTGTACGATACGATAGTTACAGACGCGTTACACTAGAAAGAAGAACTTAACGAGGCGTTTTAACCACTAATTTCGGCGAATTTTAAAAAATCATTAAGAGATTAAGAGCTTAA